ACATACACACACACACACACACACACACACACACAAACACAAACACACACACACACACACACACACACACAGTATAGACAGACAAACACGTACATAACAAAGAATTGAACATTAAAATATGTTTTTATTTTGACTGAATCAACATGACATTGTCATCAATAAAAAGTCATTTTTTAGGTCGAGTAAAAATATTACAATAGGTAGACCGATAGACAGACAGTTAAGAATCATAGATGACAGATCATATGTGACCCTGGACCACAAAACCATAAGGGTCCATTTTTTTAAATGTAATAAATAAGCTTTTTATTGATGTATGGTTTGTTAGGATAGGACAATATTTGGCCGAGATACAACTATTTGAAAATCTGGAATCTGAGGGTGCAAAAAAAAACAAAATACTGAGAAAATCACCTTTAAAGTTGTCCAAATGAAGTCCTTAGCAATGCATATTACTAATCAAAAATTAAGTTTTGATATATTTACGGTAGAAAATGTACAAAATATCTTCATGGAACATGATCTTTACTAATGATTTTTGGCATAAAAGAAAATATGATAATTTCGACCCAATGTATTGTTGGCTATTGCTACAAATATACCTGTGCGATTTAAGATTTAAGGTTTTGTGGTCCAGAGTCACATATTAACATATGTACATAATTTTATTATGGAAATGTTATATGTTATAAAGTTCTATCTTATTTTACCCAGATGCACCTTATATGGCAAGATCACTCTTGATACAGTGATCTTGATACAGTGATCTTGATATATGTCATATATTACATTTCCGTGTGGGCAGTAAGTGGTTATGTTTTTCGAAGGCCATGCTGACCTGTGTTAAACAGCTAGTAGTTTATTTGTGTCTATTTGTGTCTGTTCTGGCGCCTGGCTGTGCCAGTGATAAGAATGGGAGGAGCAATCTAACCTTGATAGGACATAATGAAATCCAGCAGAGTTGTAGGCCACTTATCTCATTTCATGAAATGGCATCATTTTTGACTGTTATGTAATTTTACAGTCCTTTAATAATATTAATAAAAAATAATAATATAACCTTTTTACTTTTTTTTTACTTTTACACACACACACAATTCAGCAAAGACAAAAAGAAATGTATGCTTTCATGTATTTGATGACTGTTTTGATATTAAAGAGCAAGATACACAATGCATAAATCCATATTTACTCTTCAACAAAGGTCAAAAAGTCTTTACTTCACTTTTATTGTTCAACACAAAATTCTCCTTATTATGTTTTATTATTAATTTCTTCAATAAACAAGAAGTTAATATTAAGAGACTTACGTTTTAGAGACCATATTGCCTATTTTTGCTCTATGTCGCCAACAAAAACGGTTCCAAACAAAGCCACAGCACTGTTTTGCGTCTCTGAGCAACATGACGGTGTTTCGTTCCTGAATGAATCAACCATTTAAATGATTCGGTTCAATCGCAACGACTCACTTATTAACAGTGACTTGCTGCCACCTACTGGTGGTTTTAATTTCACATTTCAAAGTACCCTTTTATATATTTTTAAATAATTTCAAATTTGTATATGCATCTAAATGCCACTTCTGATGCAGCTTCTGTGTTTCCTCTGCATTGCATGAATTTTGTTGATAATGCACATTATTTGATATTATTTGATATAAATTTGATATAAATTTGATATTTAATAACGTTCGGATACCACGGGAAAATCTGCTGAGAAAGCGAGTTAACGGCTGTAGAGTAGGCATTGTGAACTACAAAATGTAACTGTAAATGTAAAGACATTCTAGAGAGATTATCCCTCAGTCGTGAAAAACGTGAAAATATCAGCAAATGTTCAAATTGTGATTTCCAAACCTGGAAAAGTCATGGAAATTAGTCAAATTTTGAAATATCATGGACATTTTTATTTGATTTGTATCTATTTATTTACATTTTTAAACATATTCGTGAATACAATCGCTTATTATTAAATGATTTGAGAAATTCTTACCCATTAATTACGAATGACTGGATTTTATTTGTTTGGTAACAGCCCCAAATGACTTATTATTGTAATTGACTTTATTGATTAAATGTAAGAATTTGACACACTTCTAGAAAAATAAGAGCGTTGACACAATTCGAACACTGCATATAACCACAAAAACCCTTTAGAATTCAGCATTCAAAACGAAACATATCCTTTCATGCATTCTTATAATCTATGACTGTTTTGATGATAGATTAAATAAACAATGCATAAATGCACTTTAACAAAGGTCCAAAGAATGCCTTTACATCATAGATAGATATGTTATTATTATTGTTACTATTTTAATGTTATTGCTATTATTTTTATTACAATTGATAAATTACCTCATAAACGAGTAGGCAATAAAAAAAAAATAAATAAAAAAAAGTGAATTAGTGTTGCCGCGCAACGCGGTGACATCATCCAAACGCGGAAGTGGAATGTTACGGTTACAGTTACAGTTACAGTGAAAACACGAGGAACTCAAGTCATGTTGTTATCATCCAAGAATCAAATACAGTCCAGCAGCCCTGCCAGATATCTAGATGGAGAATTCTGGGAGATTAAAGATGCTTTTCGTGACGCGATGTCAGCGTGTGAACTGTTTCAGTCCAGCAGGTAAGTAAACCGTGTTTCCTTAAAGACTGATTCACGGGAGTTATCTTGAGTAAATAAAAGGAAATGTACAGTCACCTCTTCCAGACACACGATGGAGGCTGTGCGCGTTTTGTCAAGATTTAAAAGATCTGAATCCATTTTGCGCTTCATTTGAATTTACGAGAGCTCGCTGTGTTCTCGGTGCAGAGCAGACCTGACTGCAGAGAGGCTATGTCACATGTTAAGACTGCCTTTCATGAAATCAGGTACGTGAGAAATGAGTCTTCTGCACGTCTTTATTACGCATTCAAAAAGTACTATGGTGTTACCATAGTAAAGTTATGTTGTCATTTGGTAAAAACAATAGCACTTTGATATATTTTATAGCACTTAAATTCACTTTGCATTGTCCTCCAAGGTTCATTATTGTTAGTTATTTACATATTGTTAGTATGTAACATTAGTTATTATTGTTAGTTAACATATTCGTGAATACAGTCGCTTATTATTAAATGATTTGAGAAATTCTTACCCATTAATTACGAATGACTGGAAAAATAATTGAAATTCATTGATGCCAACAGAAATCGAATTATTGAAATAGTGATTATTGAAATAATTATTTAAAAAATATTTAAACAATATTTAAATGTTTGCATATTTTGCTATTATTATTATTATTTAATTAAAATTTAATGATTTTTTTTTATTTTTTTTTACAAATTTCTATTTGATCATGTATTATTATTTATTTATTGGATGATTAGAAGATTCTCAGAGGTTAATAAAAAAATTTAATTTGGTATTTGTCAACATTTATCAGAACACAACATGTAAATATATTTCTGTCATGACAACTCTCGGAGTGATTGGCATGGTAATGTACATGATAATGTTAATGTATTTGGACTTGGAGGAATAGATCTGCTACGCTGCAGTACCGAGACTTGCTACTGCCAATACATCCACAACATGCTGCTGTGAGCATGTAAGAAATATTGCTGCTGCAAATATAACATACATAAAATAACCCCCATATAGCATACATGAATCACCTCGTAGCCAGTGTTAATTTTGACAGCAAATTTTGATTTAGTTTTAGTCGTAGTCTTTTGACTAAAATGCCATTTAGTTTTAGTCATATTTTGACTAAAAATGCCATATCTGAATTGTTTTTAGTTTTAGTCTAGTTTTCTATCTACAGTAAATCTACAGTAAATTTAGTCGGCTAAAATCTAATGGGTTTAGTTACAGTGCATTTATTAAGCATTTCCCTAAAATGTCCAAACTCATTATATAGGTTTGATATAAAGGTTTTATCATGCTAGACACTGATTTAACTGCGGTGACACACAACATTCCTTTGTGTTAAAATTAAATAAAACCACTTCTCATAAAGAACACGAACATGGTCTTCTTTTTAATGAAATACCAATGGTTGTATAGGCTAGTTATGGATTCTTTATAGCAACTCTTTCAAGCATTATTTCTATAAATACATTTAGATTAATCTTTAGGGCTAATCTTTAGTTTTTTAGTCAAGAGTCAAGAGTGATTTTCTGTCTTTCTGTTGTTGCTTGATTAACATCAATGACTCGGACAATAGCAACTAACGTTCTCCCTGCTGTTTACGTTCACTTAAGACGTAATCAACTGTGTTTACGTGAATACTCGTCAAAACGGACAATTCGACATCATTTTGTGTGTAATTCACCGTTCATGCGACGCGAAAGAGTACTCGCGTGCTGTGAGAGCTGTGAGACGTGTGTGTATGCTTCAGAGTCTGCGCTCAGAAAACCGGACCGAATTGAGCTCTCTCTTGCCTCTCTTGCGTTATCCATATGTCTGCTCTTCTCTTACTCCCACATATTGACATTTTTGAACGTTTTATGTGACGTGCAGCAAGTGTATTTTAGCTTATGTCCCGCCGGCTCAAATGTACGCATCTAACCTCCGAACCACGCAGCAGATTCGTTCTGAAATTGAATGAATCTCTTCCCAT